ACCTTAAACTTCACATCCGAAACCCCACGCCCTAAGCCCTAAACCCGAAGCCCTAAACCCTAAACCCTAAACCCTCAGCCTAAACCCAACCCTCAGCCCTCAGCCATAAACCCTAAAACCTACATCCTAACCCCTAAGCCCTAAACCCTAAACCCCAAACCCCAAACCCTAAACCCTAAACCCTAAGATAGTCTCTTGGAGGCATCGACCTCCCCTGCTCGGCCCCCGGGTAACTGGACGGGCCCACTGAGCGACGAGGAGCTCTGGAGTCGCCGCGGCCTGAGATGGGGGTTTAGGGTTTAGGGTTTGGGGTTTGGGGTTTGGGGTTTGGGGTTTAGGGTTTGGGGTTTGGGGTTTAGGGTTTATAGGGTTTGGGGTTTAGGGTTTCGGGTTTAGGGTTCAGGGTTCTCATAGCCTCGCAGGGTTTCCTATTCTACTTCACGTAGGGTACCCAACAGGGTCCAGATTTCGGATCCTACGCCCGTTTATGAGCACCTCTAGACCTCGCGCTGCACGGTTCTGACGACGAGGCTTGGACCGTCTGTCGCGGCTGGGCGAAGACTTAAACGGGCAGGACAGAAAACAGGTGCGGCTTAGGGCTTACGGGATCAGGGTTTCCGAGAAGTCAGATTTGGTGCATACCAGACGGCAACTGATGCCGGAAGATGCTGACAGCTGGAGCCGAGCATACCGCCAGTGGTGATCGAAGTGCTGTTGTTGAGTTCAGCTGTCTGAGATTCGTTGCCGTGTCGTTGCACACGGTCCTTATCTATTGGTTGTCGAGCTCTCCTCTTCTCTGCGAGCGATGCTTGACAAGCACAGCACAGCAATGGCCGAAACAGCTTCCAAGTTGCAGTCCAGCCAAAACTGAGTAGCAGCAGTCCCCAGAATCATGTCCCAGTCAAAACAATGCGAGACCACGAACTGCTTGCTTGGAGTCACATGCTCTGGCCTTTCCGCCCCGACAGTGTGCACAAACATGCCGAGAACCTCTCGTATATGCCACACTGCAGCGACCCTGGCTCAGCACAAGTGTAGCGCGGGCGGCGCGCAATCAGCTTCCCAAATCTTCGGAGTTCTCTTTCAATGTGAAACACATAGGGGCCTTCTGTAGGGCCAGAGCTCGGCATCAGATCCATCTTCCAAGCCGACGGCTTAGAACCACTAAGCCCTAAAACCATAAGACCCTATCCCCCCTAAAGCCTTAAACCTAGAGCCACTAAACCCTAAAACTCTGAACCCCCCTTCACCCCAAACCTCAAACCCCTAAACCCCTGAACCGCTTGGCCCCTAAACCCCAAACCCAAAAACTCGAACACCCTAAAGCCCCCGTGCGCCATGGATTCGCGACACCGAGTTCCATGTGCCGCTTTACGCGAGGCTTGGGTTGACGGCTGGGCGCTATTTGGGTTTGTTAGGCTTTCTATAGGGGTTTCTATGGCTTGTTGTGGTTTTAGGCTTTTTAGGGTTTAGGTTGTTTGGGGGGGGCTTGGGCAGGGTCTGTATGCCGCATTTAAAGGAGGCCCCCCGGAAAGGGTCTAGGGTTGAGGGTGTAGGGTCTTGGGTCTTTCGGGGTGTTTTGGGTTCTAGGAATCTAAGGTTTAGCGTGTAGATTTAAGGTTTTGGGCTTTGGGGTGCCGGGAGTATAGTCCCCTTCTAAGCCCGAAACTTTATAAAACTTATAGACACTAGGCCGTAAGCCCTGACCCTGAACACTGAAACCCGAAGCCCCAAGCCCCAAATCGCGCATTTGGTTGTGCTGCTTCTTCCGACGGAAGCGTGGACCTTCTCTGTGCTCTTGGGTTGCGGCTTAGAAGCCCTCAAGCCCCAAAGCCCAAATTCTTTTTAAAGCCAGGAAAAAGCCTCCTAGTTATCCTATAGGACCCCGAATTCAAACCTAGGTCCTTGAAGGCATACTGGTTATTCGGTCTGGAAATTTCCTGATGGCTTAACCCCTAAGGCCCCTAAAGCACGAAACGCCTTGCGAAATCTCCAAGAAAGTCCGAGCGAAGCCTTTAAACTTCCTTAAACCCTCTAGCCACTAATCCCTAAACCCCCCAAGCCGGCCCGAAGTCCCAAACCCGAAGCCCTAAACTATCCTAAACTCACCCTAAACCGTAAACCCCAGACCCCAGACCCCAGACCCTAGACCCTAAACCCTATCCCCTAAACCCTAAACCCTAAACCCTAAACCCTAAACCCTAAACCCTAAACCCCCAGCTTCTCCTCAACGCCCTCATGCTCGCCGCAGCGCGGGATCCCTGCGAAGAGCTGTAGTCTTTTTTCTGCCCCGAAGCTGGGGCAAAGGAACCACGGGACGCACGAAGGACGGCACGGGGTTTAGGGTTTAGGGTTTAGGGTTTAGGGCTTCGGGTCCATAGGGTTGATAGGGTTTTGGGTTTGTGGCTTGGTTTTTGTTTCGGGGTGGTGGTGGGGGGGGAGACAGGGCTTTTTGGGCTTACAGCTTGAAGGGTTTGGGGTTTAGGGCTTTGGGTTCAGGGTTTAGGGTTTAAGGTTTAGGGTTTAGGAGGTTGTAGGGTTAAGGCTAAGCCCTAAGCTCCGAATCCCAGAAAACCTACAGCTCTAAACTCCGAAATCCCCAAGAAGCCCTGAGACCACAAATGCAGGGTTTAAACCCTAAACCCTAGACCCTAAATCCTAACCCTAGACCCCCCCCCCCCCCCCCCCCAAATCGGAGGACGAGTCGATGCTCACCATCTCCATCTCCGAGTCCCTCGCCGGAAACCCGGAGGGATGGTCGGTGCGGGCCTCAGAGCTCCAGCTGAGGGTTCAGGGTTTAGGGTTTAGGGTTTAGGGTTCAGGGTTTAGGGTTTAGGGTTTAGGGTTTAGGGTTTAGGGTTTAGGGTTTAGGGTTTAGGGTTTAGGGTGTAGGGTGTAGGGTTTAGGGTTTAGTGTTTAGGGTTTAGGGTGTAGGGTGTAGGGTTTAGGGGTTTAACTCCAGCAGGGTCGCGGCTTCGGGATCACCCTTGACCTCCGTCATCCTCCGTCTGTGCGGTGGCGTGCTCCAAGGAGTGGAGCGGTGACGCGAAGAAGATGTACCTCTCCGGGCTCGAAGGTTTAAGTGCGCCTTTGTCATAGCGGGGTAACATTTTACATGTTTAAGGGTACTTTAACTCAATAAGAAATAGAAACCTACATTTTACTACTATCCCAACCATGAACTAGGCGCAGAGCGCGGCACCTGGGGGTCCCACCCTCAGTGGTTATGGGATGTGGAACGAGGACTGCGGGCGGAGATGATTTGACACCCTAGGCTGAGGGGTGGCAGGCTGTAAGGTCCAGAGAAGGTTCATCGGACCGTTTGTAGGGCTTAAGTCAGGAAATATCTTATGCGTTACATGCATGAACCGTTAAACATATGCATATGTATGTATATATGTACCCCGTGGGAGGGGGCCGGCCAACACTTGAAACAGAACCAGCCTCAAGTACGGTGAGAAGTCATGATCTTGCGTGCGAGGGTGGCCAGTTCGTTCGAGTTTTCTGTACTAAAGATGTTAACGACAACCTGAAGATGCGTTTTGTAAAGGTAGTGGCTTCCGTCTCGTTTCTAATCAGGTTTGAGCACAGCCAAAACATAGTTATTCAGGATTGGTGCGATTCGCTCGCAGAGGCTTGCGTTTCCAAAAAAAGTAAGCAATCGAATCGAACGGTTCGTTTCCTTAGCAGTTTTCATGCGGCTCGTTTCGGTTCGTGTTGCGGTTGCTGCAAGTTTGAGGCCTAAATTCGAGATAAACTATAGATACCTTCATGAAATTGCAACTCCAGGGCCAGACTTGGAAGACTCTCAGCCCTTAACCCAAACCTTGAGGACAGGAAGCCACGAACAAGGGTACCTTTTCGGTGCAGGCCTCTTCCCCACAAGGCCCCACACCGAAAATGTACCTTGCAAAGAAAAGGGTGTTTTTGGGTTGTTGAGGCTAAGAAGGCACGAAAAAGGGTCCTTTTTGCTCTTCCCCAAGAAGGCGCCTCACCGAAAAGGCACCCTGCACCGAAAAGGTACTCTTTTTCGGCTTCTTGAGGCCAAGAAGGCACGCAAACGGGCCCCGCACCGAAAAGGTACTATTTTTCGGCTTCTGCTTCAGGTACCCTTTTCCAGCTTCTTGAGGCCAGGAAGGCACGAAAAAGGGTACTTTTTGGTGCAGTTCGCCCAGGGCACTTCAAGTGCCCTGTCGGAGTGGCGAATTCATCCCCGCTCGGTCTTCAGCAAGGTTCTTACGCGGAGCTTGCAACGATGCATTGCACAAGACACTCGTAAGTGCGCGTCTGCCTCTTCCGCACCGAAAAAAGGTACACTTTTCGGCTTCTTGAGGCCAGGAAGGCACGAAGGCCACCCCGAAAACTCCTCCTGTGGGCTTTGCCCGTAGCTAAATTGAGTTAGACATTTATCGCAAAAGCCACACGCTGAGAAAGCATCATCTTAGCCTCGTTCGTTCGTGCTGTAAGAAATCAACTCCTGCAGAAATTCTTTTGTACGCCTCGTTCGTAAGTACTCAATCAACAATTACTCAGCCCTGAACCCCAAACCCTGAAAGCTTACCCGTAACAGGCGGTTATATGGCTATATGAAATCTTGCTCTAGAGGCTGCACCCTGACAAATCCTCCTTTCGGCTTCGTTCGGTTAGGGTTCTGCAATTTGTTGACAGGCCATACTCTAAGAAATCCTCATCTGGGCCTCGTTGGTTAATTTGAGTGCAAGACGGCAATTCCATGAGAGATCTTCCTCTTAGCCTCGTTTGCAATTGAGTTCAATTTCGATTTCATGTAAACAGGCCACTGGGCATCGTTCACCATGTAACGTACACTCCTTCAACAATTCTTCTCTGGCCCTCTTTTGTGCTTCAATGAGCCTTGCTATCTGCTCACAATCCTCCCCGGAGGTCGATGTCGCTTCGGAGTTGTGTTGACTTGGTTTTGCAGGGTTGCTTCAAGATTAAAGACTACTGTAGGCAGGGGCAACACGGGAGAATGAAGTACAATGACAGGGGAATGGGATGAGGATTTCGTCATAAGACGCATCCCACCCAGAAATGCTACACAATCCAAAGAGAAATTGGCCAGAAATTGCCAGGAGGTTGCTTCGTTGTTTTGGACTTTCTCTGTTATGCGTTTGTTTGTTTTTTGTTGAAAGCCAAAAGCCCTGTTTGTTTTTGCTTTGTGGCATGTCGCAAACCTGAAAAAGCGTCAACACGTGTGTTTTGGTCCGTGGGGATTCCCGAGGCCCGAGAACCCAAAAGCCCTGGGCTGATTGCCCAAAGCAACAGTGCAAAAGTGACAATGTGCAAAGACCTCCGGGGCCAACGCATCTTTGGATTTGAGAGAACCCCTGCGGGCATTTCCAGATAGCTTCCGGTAGCAGCTCCCTACTATGTGTGTTGACATTGTGTTGACTGTGACCGGCCGGAAAGTAACAACACAAAGAAAAACCTAAACCTCTAAACGTGCTTTTGCTCTTGCTCTCTTACAAGGCATTTTTGTTGTAGAAACCAAGGCTTCTGTTCTTTTTTCGCACGTGTTGCTTTCGGATTCCGGAGGCTTATATATATATATATATTGTTGTATCTGTCTATCTATCTAGCTATGTATGTATGTACGTATGTATGTATGTACGTAGGTATGTATGTATGTATGTTCGTAGGTATGTATGTATGTATGTATGTATGTATGTATGTATGTATGTATGTATGTATGTATGTATGTATGTATGTATTTATAAAAAGAGGGGTTCGCTTGTGTTCATTTTTGGGTTTCTTCTGACGGAATGTGCGGAACGAGGACTCCGACCGAACGCCGGCCCTGGCTTCCTGGGTGCCCCAACACCTCCCAGACGTGCCAGTGCCGATGCCCGCCTCGTCCTGGGCCTCGCCGCTCCGCGTCCCCCTCCCGGAACCCATCAACGACAAGGAGAACGAGCCTTTGGAACTGCCACCACACATCTCCACCATGATCGAGCAGTTTACACGCGTGGAGGAAGCGACGCCTTTCTTGCCACCGCCGGGGCTAGCAGCCGAGCAACCACTCGCAGGCCCCAAGACCATGGCCAAGAAGCCCGTCTTGCCCGAGATCGACCTGCCACCCGGCATCAAGATCTTCGGCAACTACGCTGGTTCTGTGTGCACCCGCGTTGAGTGGAGAATTGACGACCTCAACGGCAAGCTCCAGGCTAGCATGGGCAGGCCGCTGGTTTCACCTCCCTTTGCGGCCTTGGGCTTACCAAACCTTCGCTTGATGGTGTTCCCCGATGGGCGTGAGACCATGAAGAATGCCCGGAGCAGTGAACGCAAGGGCCTCTACACCCAGATGATCAAGAAAGGCCCCCTCCATGCCTCTCTCAAGCTCAAGGCCGACTGCCTCCAGTGCGCCACGGTAATGACCGTGAATCTCCTCGTCGGCCAGGTGCGCGCAGGGCCGTTGGTCTACGACTTCTCAGAGCAGGCGATCCACGGCTTGGACGACTTGGGAGTGGATTGGTTGAAGCAGGTGGACAAGGGCAATGGAAGCCTGACAGTAGGAATTGAGATTCTTGACGTGCGCCCCCAGCCTTGATCCTGCAGCTTGTACATATACTCAGCTGGTTCGGGCTATTGGCTTGTGAAATGATAAAATCTTGTCTGGAGCTCAGCGCCGATTTTGACGCTCAATCGGACTCGAATGTACAGAAGCGTCGTGCGCAGAGTAGCAAGGCTCTTTCTTCGCGGTTTTGGCCCACACGGCCTTCAGCCTTGCAGGCACAGCTGTATCTCACAATTCACACTTCTGCTGCCTCGATGCACATCGATGCACATCGATGCACCTCTAACGAAAGTTGGAGACTCTGATTTTGGTGTATCCATGCTTATAATATCCGTACCTGCCTAAAAGGCAACATGCACCCAAACCCTGTGTTGTTGCAGAATGCCATGTTCATCACATGTACTGCTGCCTTGTGAGAGACACAGGGGTTGGATTCTGCCTGGCTTTCTGAGAAATTGGCAATTTTTCACTGACACAGCCCAAGTACCTTAATATGCCTAGGAAAACGAAAGAGTTGCTTGCATCGACGCCTTCAAAGCCAGCCATTTATGGATTGCAAGAGATTCGACATATCAGTGGACATGGGCCACTTCGTACATAGCTGCTAACCGACCTTGCAAGACGCCTAATGGAAAATAACGGAAAACACCTGCCACAGCTTGCTTCAGCAAGGGTCAGCAAGAGCAGTGCCAGCCTTTTCCCCGACATCTGCGCGGCAGACGTTGCAAGCATCACACTAAATGCCCCATAAACCATATAAACCCTAAACCCTCAACCCTGACTCCTAGAACCCTAAACCCTAAACCCTGTTGCAGACAGCCAGGTTAGACTGGTGGCACCTTTGCGCATGTTCGGCCCTTGGCAGCTCTTGTGCCTCTCCAGTCATGTAGCATGTTGCCAGCCTGCGCTGTGGGTGTAGGCTCTTGTTTATAGGGTTGAGGACAGGAGAAGACGAATACTGTCATAGCATGAAGTGTCCCATATACAGCTATAATCGGTTCCAAGAAGAGAGTATTTCATATTATCTATGGGGACGGGGTTTTAACATTTGAGGGAGGAGGCTGCTTGCACCTCCTTGGTGCCAGCCTCCAAATTCAAAACGCGGCTCGTGCTGTGCTCGCAGCCACACGAGTGGGATTCAGATGCTACATGTGCCAAGTGAGACGTAGACGTCTGCGTGAGGGTGTAGGGCATAGGGCTGAGGATGCCCACCGGGACATAAGCAGTCACTTGTTTAGCGTTAGGATATGCCTTCCAGCAAGTGTACGCTTCCTTTTCTGGGGGGAGCGGCTGTAGCCTTCCCAGAGCGATGAAGTTGCCGCCATGGGATTAGGCTGGACGTTGCTGCTGCTAGCGTCTGTGGGCAGTGCGAATGTGTGTCTGCCAGATGGCATCCCCGAGAATGACCGGGCATTCTTGCAAAGCGCCACTGGTGAGCTCGAGGTGGTGAAGCTACTAGCTTTTGACTGGGCTTCAGCAGAGCTGGTGTCGATCATCGCGAGGATCGTCATCGAAGAGGCACGGCCAGAGTGCTTATCTGGGTTCTTTTGCTCCCTGTGTACCCCTTGCTGGACCTTTTCATGTTGCTATCTGACTATACTAGACCGTTTGTATCTAAAGGAATTACCGTGCGTCGTGCCAGACCCGAAGCCGCTTCGAGACCCTAAACCCAAAGGTCCTGGGGTACAAAGCGGCCATCAGTGACATCAGACCCCTGGCGGTGCTTGATGCTGCCCTGCCACTGTCAACTTGCCGAAGCAGCAATTGCAGTGAAACGACTTCAGCGACGGGACATATAGCTCTTGAGACGTGGATCGGAGCATATGGCGCAGAATTTCAACTTTTCAAGCAGCGACACCCGAACCTGGTTCCGGAAGATCTGGGTTCCATCGGCTATAGTGGTGAGGAGGCTATGTATGTTCGCCGAGACGTCCTCCACGAAGCCTACCGCAGCACGGGACATGCCCTGCAATTTTACATGAGCTACAATGTTTCCAATTACGACGCGAAGCAGCACTTCGACCAGCTGATGGACTTGCCAGCCGAGGAAGAGCTTCCGAAACTAGAGCCCCCCCCCCCCCTCGAGCAATGATTGAGACTTCTCTCATTTTGTTAGCGAATCTTCGAAGTAAAGCTCCAGACGAGTCATTCGACAACCATGAATCAGCCCCAGGAATGTATGTAAACCATCTGAAAATCGGTCGACGTTAATTTTAACGCTACGCGACCCGCCTCGGCCTGAGCTTCCGTGACGAGGCAACCCAAACCAGAGAAGGGCTATTGGGCCTTTGAGGTGTTGGGGGTGGTGGGGGGGCAGGCGGGGTAGGGTACGGTGGGAAATTTGCAAGATCAGAGCTTGGGGATCAGCTTTATCCGACAACCCCATCCACCAGCCCAAGACCAACCCTAAGCCCGAACACCCGAAGCTCCAACAGCCTAAAACCTGGTTCAGCAAAAATGCGTTGCCAGACTCCCTAAAAGGAGATCGCCCTCTGCAACGAGACCGGTCGTCTTTGGACCGATCCGACTTTTATGAACCTATATGCTCACTGGACCGGCGATTTCGATGGTCTCATTGAGGCGGGTTTAGGGTTGAGGGTTGGGATTGCGCGCCCTCTAACAAGACTAAGGTATGGTGATATGAGTCATGAATGAAAGCAGTCATAGGGGGGAGAGTCGCTATTACTTCAGGGAGGCCCCTTGTTGCTCTAGACTCCCAAACCCTGAGCCCAAACCCTGAGCCCAAAAGTCAGCCGTGGGGTCACCCAGCCAGGTAACAGAGGGGTATCACGCCAAGTGTCCCGACGGGCGTTTTTGGATCTCGCCAACCTGCCGGCACAATACCTCGAGGTGCATTCCGGTTGTTTCCAACCGTCTTGGTTGGCTGGTGGACGTCTTCATGTTTTGGTCGACAGCATACGGAATGCCTATAGCTATTGGAATATCGCGGAGTGTACAGCAGAACATTGAGCACTTCAACAACCATAAGGTGCTGACCTACTGGTATCGGCCAGATGTGAGATTTGCCCTGTTGGATCCAGAGCCCATCGTTTTCCCTCGCCACCGTGCGACCGAATGGGCACAGGGGAACAAGCGAACCATGACGGAGGGCTCGTACATTGGCAAGCTCGTGGCACGCAACCTGCGCTTCCAGGCCTTCAACTTGTACGAGTTCTTGCAAAACATGCATCTCGATCTTACTGAAGTGCAGACCCTGCTCGCGACGGTGGCGACAGAAAACATGCCGCTGGAAGCTGCTGCCTGCCGGTGGATCGTGATGAATGCCCAGAAGTGGCGAAATTGGATTCGGAAGGATACGAGCTGCCTTCCAGGTTCCCAGGAGACCCCAGTGGCAGCCCTCTTTTCTAGTTTTCATGGCTTTTCCGGGACAAGTGATTAGGACAGGGCACTTAGGACTATATAGATAATATATATATATATGTATATATATATGTATATATATATAGACATGTGTTCATATATATATATATATAATGTTTTTGGTTTATGACATTTAAGGTTTGTGGCCAGCTTCCCTTCATGGATAAAACACCCAAGCAACAAATGGCTGGCCTTTCTTCTCAGAATACTAACCCTAAACCCTAAACCCTAAACCCTAAACCCTAAACCCTGGCACCGAGGTCACGGGCTTGTTGACGCGAGAGGGATGTACGTCACATCCCGCGCCGCAGCGGTTAGCTGCAGCTTCTGCGCATCTGGAACCTAAGCTTACAGGAATTCATGGTTTTGGGTTTAGGGTTTAGGGTTTAGGATTTAGGGTTTAGGGTTTAGGGTTCAGGGTTTAGGGCGTAGGAAATTAGGGAGTTCGTTGTCTTATATTCCCTTGGCGAACCTATCTCCCAAAGAAGAAGAACCGCAAAGTAGGAGGTTCTTGAATTTTTGGTTGACAGTTGTTGTGGGTTCTCCTGCAGAGCATCGTCGATACAAGGGTTTCAGAGAAGAGCAGAGGAACATCATCAAACTCCTTGGTGGACGACTCTGGGCAGACCTACACCTGTCAGTCCTGTATCCGGGCCGAGACTGTTTTGGAAAGCGCTTTTGGCTTTTAGCGGGTTTAGGTTTGAGGGTCAGGCGTGTTATATTTGTAAGGAGCTACGAACACTACAAACCTTAAAGCCCAAGCCCCAAACCCGAAGCATTGCAAACCTTGAAGCGTAAAGCCTAAACCCTGAACCCTAAACCCAAGAGCAGTTCAGGTAGTCCTGGCACCTTTCAGAGCTCGTCCGGTGGGACTGTATGCCTGGACTGCGAGCCTGGACACTGGGTTGCAGTTCAGCAACAAACTAAGGGAACTAAGGGATTGAAGGCTGCGGCTTTAGGCTCATGGAAATAAGTAAGTTGCCGTAATATGGGAGATTCGTAAACAGTGTCTGTTTGTCTTTTGTTTTTGTTTTTTCTCTTTCTCTCTCTCTCTCTCTTGTAATTTTCGTTCTCTATCAGCAGCCTAGGAAGAGTGGCAGGCATGGGAGGCCTCACGGTGTGCGAGGTGTGCACGCTGGGCAGCTACGCGAACTCCTCTGCCATGACCGAGTGCCTTCTTTGCTTTGATGCCGACGGAGGTGGAGAGTGGACCACAAGTCGTGTGGCGCAAGGAGAGGATAGGTGGATTGAAGTAGAAGGGGCAAGCGATGCCAGCTTCTGCCACTGCAGGTCAGGCTGGTTTCTCCATAATGGCGAGTGCCGACAGTGCAGTGCAGGGACCATTTGTGCCGGCTCTGGCCAGCTAGAACTACTCCCTGGCTACTTCTCCAATGCAGAAGACCCTGGATATGTCTTCAAGTGTGACAATGTGGGGATCTGCCCCGGGGGCATGCCCGGATCCTGCGCCGACGGGCGGGATGCCAGCAGCGTGGCCTGCAGCGCTTGCCTGCCGGGCTTTCGCCCGAGCCGCGAAACCTGCATACCCTGCAGTGGCAGCGACTTAGAGATACACTTAGATGCCCTTAAAGGGGGCCCTTGGCCGACTGGAGGGGTGGTATTGGCCACCTTATGGGGCCTGGCCCCCCTGAACCCTAAACCCCTTAAGGTGACTACGCCGTCTTTACCCTGCTGGGTTTGGCGATCGCGTGTGGCACAGGATTTTTTCATGTCTGGCGCCTGCACCAAGCAAGGCTGGGTTTCACTTGGAGTGGCTTTTGAGTGCTTAGAGTTCAGACGGTTCCTCGTCATCTTGACCTTCACAACCCCCAAAAGACCCTACAAAACCCTATGATAACCCCACATAACCCTATGATAACCCTATGATAACCCTATGATAACCCTATGATAACCCTATGATAACCCTATGATAACCCTATATAACCCTATGATAACCCTATTACAACCCTACTTCAACCCTATCTGTAGCCCTTTTCTAACCCAAATTATAGCCCTGGAAGGCACCGCACCGTGAGACCCGTGGCCTTGCTGAACCTGATGCTTGGACAGATCCCCTTTTTGGGATGATCTAACACAAGAATATTGCAATATAGCAGTACCAGAATATAGCAATAGAACAACATATCAAGATAAGAATATGAGACGAGTTAGCAACATAAGAAAGAGCAATCTCTTTGCCTTGGTTTAGGGCCTAGGGTGGCCCATAGGCCTCAGGGATGCATCGGATTTTCTCTGATTAGGGCGAGGATTCTTTTTTGTGGAAGAGTGCTTTCATAGGGTTTTCAACGGCCCAAGCTAGAGGATGATGTACGTCACGCAGCTGGTTGTGTATCTCCAGCTCCTGGTCGTCCTCCAGAAGATCGATGTAAACTGGGATGAGCCTTTCCTTCTGCTACTGGAGGTCTTCAGCATCATGTCCTTGAATGAGTTCGTGAAGTCGCTCCATGTGCTCTCATGTGTAACATACATCTCTCCGACCTCCGAGTTTCTTCTTCAGACGCTTGCTGTGCCCGCGTTTTTCATGCTGGCTCCAAGCATGCACGTGATTCTGATGGTGGTCCCAAGATGGCGCAGCCGGCGCCGGGGAAATGCAAAGCTGCATGTGCTTTTCGAAACGATCGGGTCGCTGTCGGTGCTCTTCTTCATCGTGTTGTGCACAGCTGTTGTGGTTCCTCTCCAGTGCCATGAGCACCCAAATGGTGTTTGGACCCTGCAGACAAGCGTGAAGATGGTATGCAACTTTACAGGGGTCCATCTACAGCTTTGTGTCATTGGTGCCGTCCTAGGTCTTCTACCTCTGGGCTTCCTGTCCTTGTGTGCCTGGGCCGTCTTACATGAGTTCCCAAGGCGGGTGAAGCAGGGAGACATGAGCTTCATCAGCGCCTTCTCCTTCCTCGTGCTGCGCTTCTCGCCGGGACACGAGGGGTTCGCCATCTTCCTCTTGCTTCGGAACATGCTCTTCGCCCTTGCGCCGGTCTTCCCTTCAGCAAGCACGAGCTTGCTCTTGATTCAGGCACTGGTTTGCTCCAACCTCTTTGGGGTCTCCTTCTTCAAGCCCTGGCGCACCTTGCATGGCACCTATGCCGACATCTTGGCCAGCGCGATCTTCCTAATCGTTATCCTTCAGGCTGCCTTCTTCGTATCCGATGTCGATAAGGCCTCCTCCTCGATCCCAGGCTGCGCTCTCGATTTTCGGTTGTTTCTACACATTGTTTGGCCATAGATGGGCCAAAATGGACCTGTAGGGCTTACGGTTTTAGGGTTTCGGTTTGTTTAGGACTGAGGGTTCAGGGGTTTTAGGTCTCGCGGGGGGGTTCTTCGAACAGCTTTTAGGATTCTTTGCACGATTGCCCTGGCCTCCATCCTTATCGGCCTTCTCATATCGAGCACGGTCACGCTGGGAAGACACGTGTTTGCTCGGCACGGCAGCTGAGCTGACAAGGGTTTAGGGTTTTAGGATTTGGGGTTTTAGGCTTTAGGGTTTTAGGGTTTTCGGGTTTTCGGGTTCTAGGGTTTTAGGGTTTAGGGTTTGGGGTTAAGGGTTTAGGCCAACCCTAAACCTGAATCCTGAACTCGGCTCCTCGCGATTGCAAGTAGGCAAACTTTACCTAGGTGAAGCATGCATGAAGGGACCCAGAACTACGTGCTACTCTTGCTAACAGTTGCACTGCCCGACAGCGTAGAACGCCACTGCCCCCACCACGGAAATAAAGAAAGTTCAGGTTTTGGACTGACTTAAAGTCTGTTGCACGAGAAAAAGAGTGCGAAACTTCGGTCAAGTCTTCATCTCCAAACCCCAGCAATCCAATCTCACCCAACCCGGCATGTATCCTTGAAACGATCACATCTTGAGCCTCTGCTCTTTGCCAAGCACAGCTGGCGACGATCACTGCGACATTCAACTTATTCAGCAGCAAGCGGAGCAGTTCGAGAGCGCGAGGGGCAGGAAAACAATACAGGGGGCAGGAAAGCAACACAGGGCCCAAAGAAGCCAACGTGATCTAATACCCGTGCTAGCCCAACAGGCGCTTGTGTCGCGCCCCTGCCACGTTTTGGCGACACCAGGCGATTGAAGTGGAATCAAGTTCACGCGTCCGAGCCGGGAGTGCGATGCCGATGGCATTTTTTGACATAATGAAAGCGGCTCTTCACCCGTTAAGCTAAAGCCCTGAATCCCCAACACCGACAACCGAAGACCTTATGACCTTTTGAGGTAGCAAGTTCCACTACTTCCTCTCCCACCACAAACAAGCGGCTGGGAGTTTGGCACGGCTGATGAAGATCGAGCTCCAGCTGAGGGGCCTGACTCTTAAGGTTTAGGGTCCAGGGTGTAGGGTTTAGGGTGCAGGGTTTAGGGTTCGGGGCTCAATCTACAGTAGTAAGGGGTTGATAGAGTAGTAAGAAGCACTCTTTTGATTAAGGGTAGGTGTGAAGTAGACTGGTGCTGGGGGCCCAAGGCTTGAGGTTCGGGGGTTAAGGGTTAGGGTTAGGCGTGACTAGGAGGTTTCGGGGGCATGACCCTCTTGAGAAGACTCTGGGCTTTGGGGCTTGGGGTTAGGGTAGCTTGCAAGGAGGTGTGCTTGTTGTTAAAGGGAGAGGTTGAGGGTCCCAGGACTTCTGGTTTTATTTCTGTGAAACTCCGACTTCCGAAGTTCACGACGCACTGCAAACCCTTGCCGCCGCACATTCTAGCAGGCAAGGGTTCAGGATGTAGATGTTTGGGTTCAGCCCCAAAACCCTAAACCCGGAACCCTCCACTGCCTCAACCCTAACCAAGCGCGAGACTCTAAGAAAGTCACAGGTGTCACGGCCTTCTTAGACGCGGACGACTTGACGGATCTCTCCTGGCTGTTTCCGTGGTCGAACTTTACGAAGGGCCTGAGGTTTAGGGTTCAGCACTCCCAGTCTCAGCCCCTCCCCCTTTTAGGGGCTCTTAAGGTTGTTCAGGATTTCTTCAGCACTGTGTATCTGCGGCAGGAGTACCAACACAAACCACATGCTGCTTTGGTAAGCCCGATCTGCGCGCCTGCGCATCTGTTGGTGAAGGCACCCGGGCCGAATCCCCGGTTGAATAGCATGAGCCCAGCTTGAGTGTGCATCTTGAACGTTGTGTCCAAGCATGGAGTTCGGGGTCCCCGGAGTCCGAATGCAGATGCCGACTTGAAATCATGGCAAACCTCATGTTGTCAACCTGCCTGTCTGATGGATAATTAAGCAGTTGTACGAAAGAAATAATAAATCCCCACATCCTAGGGGAGGGATCGCACGCAATTTCACCACTAAGTGGGGTGACGGAACAACTCGTTTGTCCCATCGGAAGAACGACGCTTGACTACCTACATGGCATGCAGTTCCAGCTTGAACTCTAGCGGCTGTGCCTCAAGTAGTTCATTTAATCAAGTTAACTCAAGGTCGGTAGATCTGTGCCATGTTGCGAGATGCACTTGTTTGCTCAGAGACATGTTTGCTGCTCTCGTTGAGATTGTAGGAGTGACCTCTAGTTTACATGAGTTATTCAGCTATTATTCTGAGGGGTAGCCCGCACATCTAGGAGAGATTGCACCAACCATGCCGAACATTCTTACGAGGGTCATTTATTGCAATTAGCCTTGTCCAGGTTTCTGAGGCCCAAGAATCCCTAAGTCCGAACTTCCGCAAACAACTACGACCTTTGCTGGACTCTTGGGTGTGGAATTCTTTTACTTCTGGGCTTTGACCGCACCTCCTCCATGATAGCAACCACAGCAGGCACGTGTCAGTACATAAGTTATACAGGGGGTTAGGGATTGAACTTTTTCTAATAGGGAATTAGGATTTCATATTCCCCTAACTAGCCCTCGAAGGGACTATGTGGGCACCTGATCCTAGCCCAGAATCCGAAACCAGGGAGCCAACTTCATGTGAGGGTTTTAGGGTTAGGGTTTTCGGAGCCACTGAGGTTTTCGGTCTTGAGCCAGCGCCCACGTCGCAGCCGAGAGTTTAGGTTGAGGGTTCGAGGGTTGCGTTGACATTAGGTATTGTTGGGATGCAGGTTGTAAGGCGGCTCCTGTCTGGGTTTCGGTTCTACTGTCTTCCTAATAATCATCTAAGTTGCCTTGAAGCCTCAATGCTTGCGAAACGGGGCTTCGTGAACTTTACGATGTATTCATTAGCTGTGTGCTGCCGACAGGTACCCATGGCACACTTGATTTCTGAACCCTGACCCCTGCCCAAGACTCCAAACACTGGCAGAGCCAGCACTGCAAAAGGATGCAGAAAATCCCGAAACCCAAGCCCTCGCTGCACAGCCACAGTCCCGAATCTCCTTCTTGAGGCCCTCAACCGTGAACCCTACGCTGTTTGAGGTTGAGGGCTCAGTGAGCATGAGCGAAGAAGATCCTTAATCCGGTGTGCTACATAAGCTTCTATGGTGAAGGGTTTCATTGGGGTTTAGGGGGACATGTCACAGTCCCTTTTTTGTTGATTCAAGAGAATCTCACGAAGTATTGCTCAGAGAGTTTGAAATTGCCAACTGCCAACCTACAGCAAACAATGTTCCTACAGCAAACAATGTTCGCAGATTGAGGGCATTTGGGGCTTGCCTGGGTAGTTTCCTTTGCAAAAGCCTGATAAGAGTGTTTTGGTAAACCCGGATGGCTGCCCACGTGTAGCTGTCCTGTACCAACATGGGATTTTACAGACTGCCCCCTCCAAGCACGGCGATGAGCGCCTGAACGGGTAGCTAAACCCTAAACTTATCCAAATCATGGTTTCGTCATGACCGGGACCATAAACCATAAACCCGGAATCCACTTTTCCCCTCTGTCCACAACTTCTTCTGGTTTCAGTTCTCAAAAAAAGATTCCTCGAATCATGACGCCTGGTTCAAGTTCTGAACCCTCTGCACGAAGGAATGTTGAGCACCTCCTGATCATTGCCTCGCCGGCGGTTCTCACGAGAAAGTGGTGCGTCGCTGAAATCGTAACAGCCAGAATGAAAGGGCTGGAGGCCACACTTCTGGTACTGCCTTTTGGTTCCAAATCGGAATACTTTCTGTAATTTCCTGAGTTAGAAACCTTGGTGACAAATCTTTGCAGGGATGGATTTGTGAGCTGGACTTAGGCCTGGCTTCTTCCTGCCTGCTGACACCTTCATCGATGAATTCGAGACTGGGTCCTGCTTGGAAAAAGTCCAAATTGCCCTTCTCTTTCTCAAAACCTTATGAGGGATTTGTTCTTTAATAAGGGAACCTGTACATAAAGTTCGAAACCCCAAAACGAGATCGCACCGCCTAGGAGAGTATGTCTCAAAGCAGGGTGGAGCTGGCAAGCTGGGGATTCGGAACGCAAGACATCACCGAGACCATGAGGTGGCTAAGGACCGTCAAGAAGTTCACCTTGGAGTCCCCTCTCAAGCAGCTGGGCCTTTTGGGGACAGGGTTTAGGGCTGTGGGGTATATACATCTGGGGCCCTTTCGTAGGCTGATAGGAATCCCAATGAGGAATCTTGAGCTTGAACGGTCTGTAAACGAGGCTGGCGCAGCTGACGGACGTCCTGAATTCCATATCCAGAACGAGCCGACCCCCACAGCAGCAAGCAGGGGACTCTGACTGCCTCATCTTGGCGGACCCAGATGCCAAGCCGCGGTTAGGGAACTCCCCGAAGATGGCTGCAAAGCAACCCAATATGGGCAGCTTAAACCCTAAACCCTAAACCCTAAACCCTAAACCCTAAACCCTAAACCCTAAACCCTAAACCCTAAACCCTAACCCTAAACCCTCAATCCCAAGCCCTAGTTACGTCCCCACAACCCCCAAAAGCACCAAGGACAGCATGGAGGCCGTGGCGACGGCCCACGTCCTGCGATACTACATGGCCCCTCACATGCTGCATTTGTGCAACGTGCTTCCGAAAGTTCCTCAGGTGCTGAATGGTGCTGAGCAGGGTTTTAGGTTTTGGCTCCTGAGGAACCTTTCATCTTCCTTAGGTGGTTTCGATACGCTTGACAACCCAAAGGTTATGCCTTTCTCCCAAGAGAATGGAGCCGCTAAGGTTCTAGGACCGGAAGACACGATCCAACGCGGCACACACAACCTCAGCAGCGCGAGCATGAGTAATCGCCCCTTGCTGTTGGTGATCTTGTGTACGCGAAGCAGCCTTGTGTCCACCCTGATGGCCGATTGGCTCCTCCAAGCCTATCGCATCGCCGTTTCCTGCCACGTGTTGCCTGTGACTGCAGAGGACGGCTTTCAGGTGCCTCCGCCGACTGCTCTGGAGGAGATTCGGCAGCACCCGAACATTCGAAGGGCCCACGACTACCATGCGGGGATTACCTACAGCAAGGTGCTGCAGGCCGTCTTCATGCAGGTGGCCGTGCATTTCTTGCCGCAGTCCTTTGCAGAGGCAGGTTTGGAGCTGAAGGCCAGGCAGGTGGCTGAGCGACTGCAGCGGGAGCGCTCCGCGAATCTGAGCTCACTCTTGGACATGTCCCAATGCACTTCATCGGATGCACTGAAGACCTTCTCCTCTGACCGACCTCTTGCTGGCAGTCTGAGCACTGTGCAGGAGCCGCCGGAGTCGCCGGAGCCGCCGGAGTCGCCGGAGTCGGCGGAGCCGCGGCAGGCCGCCTCTGTGGATGAGCTGCTGATCCTGACGCAGCTCAGCACGCTCAGCGGCCGCAGCACGGAAGACGGCATGGTCGAAGAGGCGTTCTAAGAGTCCGTTGTATTGTACAGCTAGACGACCTACCGCTCCAGGCTCTAAAGCCTGCGTTCCTTGCCGTGCAAAGCGCGAGCAAGCCCCATGCTTCTCCATTTCCATTTCCAAGAATGTAGAACCTCTTAACCCGAAGCTGTAAGCCTCCCCCAAGCCTATGCTTCCCCAAGCCCTTAAACAGCGGCCGAACCTCAAGTTGTTAACATGGGCCGTTTTTGGTTCAAGCTATCTCACAAGCACAAAAGGTGTAAAGCTATCAATTTCGGATCTAGGGCCGAGGTTTACAAGTTTAGAGCGGCCTCCCAAGTCACACCAAAGGTGCCACTTGGGATGGTCCTTTTCGCATCACAGGATGCATCCAAGGAGGGTCCAAAACAGGTGGGGCCTAAACCCTAAACCCAAACCCCAAACCCCAAACCCCAAACCCCAAACCCTAAACCCTAAACCCTAAACCCTAAAGCCTAAACCCTGAACCCTGAACCCTAAACCCTAAACCCTAAGCCTTTGCGGACGTAGAGCCGCCGAGGAAGCCCAGCCAGCCTAGTTCCCCCCCTCAACTATTGCGCAGGTGTTGGGGGGTTCCTGGTTTCATGTAGCCTCCCAAGCCTTAAACCAAATACAGGGTTAGTGCTGAGGACATCTGGGGAAGTGGTGCCAGATTATTCTTTCTTATAGGTAAGCTTGCCTCCTCAGAATCAATCGTGGAGCCCTGCCTCCTTGACTATGAGATGTTGCAAGGATCCAGCAGCCTACTTCTGTTGTTTTACAGGGTTCAAACAACAGCTAAGTCATGAGTCAGGGTTTTGGGTTTCCCGTAACTTCGGGACCCAAACCTAAAACCCCCGCAATCCCAAACTTTAAACTACACAGGCCCACCGCAATTTCTCACACGCTCCGAAGACCAGGTTGCTGCTAGCGGCGGGCTGAGGCGGGAAGTCCAGCATTCGGCTCTCGGGTTTGGGAGGGTTCGGTAGTTTTCAGCTTTAGGACTTTCAGGTTTAAGGGTTAATTTTCTTGGCTTCGTTTCTCCTGAAGCCCTAATTAAACGAAAGCCTCATAAGGGTTTAGGGTTTGGGGATTTCTTGGTTTGACCTGCTGCCGACAGCTGCAAGCCGGCCGAAAAATGGCTTCTTATTCACGGAGCCTGGGGTTAGGGCTTTAGGGCTTCGGGATTAGAAAGGGTTTAGAGGTTCTTTTTTGGTGTTTACCATCGGGTAGCTAAGGATGCATGCCGGTGCGTGCGCGTAGGGCCATCAAGAGGCCGAGCCCTGAGCCCTAAACCCTGAATCAAAAGTTGCCTGATCAGTTAGGCTAGCTCCTAAAACCCCCATGAGGCCTGCGAAGGAGACCGAAGGTTCATTGCGTCCTTGCTATTTGCTGCAGCTTTTGCGGGGCGGCCCCTACGTTTCTGAGGGCTTCCGGGTCTAGAGCTCTACGGCTTTAGGGGTTTTGATGGGCATCGGTTTCCTAAACCTTACACCCTGAAGCTAGGGTTTAGGAGGGTTTTCGGGCTTCAGGGCCTTTAGCATCCCGGGCCTCGATGTTGGCTCCGGCGTGCGCCACGCAACCCGCGCGAGCTGCGCGATGCCCGTACAAATCGCTGGGGGGCACGCGGTTGCACTTGGCGAGCTTCTCAGCCCCAACGCAGGTTGGAGCTGAGAGACAAGACCCCTTGCCAACCCCTCAGCCCAAAGCCCAAGACCCCTCTAACTTCAAGCTTCAGATTCTTTTGCCCCCAAACACCTGTACTTTTCGGGAGTATCTTGGTTTCCTTTGGAGGTCAGGTGCACAGCGGCGGCGCTACTGGCGCTGGGGCTATCTCGAGCGAGGGCACGCAGGACACCAGGGCCGGGGAGGAAGGCAGTCCCTCGGACTCTCTGCTTCAGGGTTCAGGGTTTAGGGGGTTTCGGCAGAAGAGTTAAGGCTTTTTCGGCCGTCTTTAATCCCCCTTTCTTTCAACAAGCCTAAACCCACCCACAGCTCAGGTTCTCCAAGAAGCGCAGCTTGAGCTGGCGCCCGAGAAAGCTGAAAGGGGGAAGGTGCTGCCCAACTACGAGGCCTTCCCCCCACCCCCGAAGGTGCCTACAACGTGGTGGCAGCTGCTGCATCATCTGCTCTTCTTTGGCCTTGGGATTGGAACGCTCCTCTTCCAGCCATCTTGGCTGCCAGACTGGAAGCTGACTCTAGTGATGTACCTGCGCCTGGGGGTCGACTTGGAAGAGCTGTTGATGTCTATGGGCGCTATAGGTGATCCCTTGGCATAATCCCTTATACATGTATGAATATAGCTTTAGATAACCCATTCAGAAGTGTTGTTTTTTGGGAGGCGGGGGAGGTGGGGAGGGTTGGGGAGGGTTGGGGCAGCCCCCAGATCCCTCCATCCATCAGGTACAGCGACTTCATGTCAGCTCTACTGCACAGGACTTTCGACCACGAGGAGTGCCTGAAAGTTCCCGCGCTGGACTTTGTGGCCTATGGGTTTCAGATGCATCATGCGTGGCCGATGGAATCCACCAAGGGCGTGGGACTCTATCGCCTCTTCTGCGACACGGTTCGCATCCAATGGATCCTACTCGTCTGCTTTGCAGTGATCTCCTCTCACACGCTGCTTGCTGCACAGATTCTGTATTTGAAGCTGCTCTTTGGTGCTTATGGTTCGGCCGTCGGGCACTTCTATGCACATTTCCCTGAGAACCAACGGCCGTTTCTGGTGCGTACACTGCAGGGGTTGCACCTGTTGCTGCCGCCCAAGCACCATGCAGTCCATCACCGTGCCCCTTACAATGAGAACCTGACAAGTGTGAGCGGGCTGACCGACTTCATTGTGAACCCTTTGCTGAAAGACTGCCCGTTTATCCCCACGCTGCTGACATTGCTGGGGCTGTCGATGTTTGATATCCGGCTGATCGAAGGCTTGTATAGTCGTTTTATGTAAGTCCGCGAAGAGAGAACCCGAACATCTACTAAGGAGCTAATCTTACAAGGCGCTGCCAGAAAGGTCATGTATGGGGCATATCTGGAGAAGGTAGACGGGATCGTTCAACTCGGGTCCTCCGGTCCTCCGACCCGGTGCCCCTTGCTGGGCCGTCAGTCGATGGTACTTGGGATGTTCCCCCTTATACTAAACAGTCCTTAATTGGGATTCTAGTACCCTCTATTATAATCCCTATTAAGGACTGTTAGTATCAGCAGGGAACATCCCAAGATGGTACTCTTGTCTGGGGCCACATTCTCCGCTGAGCTGGCTCCTTAAGTGATTTTGAGAAGCCCGGAGAGACCAATAGTCCCTAAGCGCGAGTGAGGGATCTGCCTCAAATCAGAGAAGAAGGATCCCTGAGCCCGAATCATGGTTTGTGGCATATTCCTCAACTGTCATGGGTATCAGTATTGGGCTCTCCGGGATTGCTGGGGGAGTTCAGAGAGTCGGGTTGAGGGTGAAGCAGGCTGATCTTCAAAGCTCCCCCGGCCGGCTGCAGGGTGGCTCTCATGCTTGCGGGCCGTAGTACCTGATATGGGGGTTTTACGAGAATAAGGGGCCCTAATATAGGCCCCCAAAAGAGAAGGATCCCAACAAGGTACCCCTAATTTCGGAACACCCCCCCATATTAGGGTTTCGGGTTTAGGGTTTAAGCTTCATGACGTCGACTCCTAAGCACATGCAAGCAACCGGTCGGCCATGGCATGCTGCCCACCATCACTTCCGGCGGGTTTTGGGGGAGAATCCCCGGCGCGCCCAAAGACCGAAACCGCTTGAACAACACATCAGCAGTGAAGTGAAAAAAAATGCCCCCCTCCCCCCCCCCCGAAACACAGAAGCCCTCCTCTTCCTAATTAACCATTCAAGTTCCTACGGAGCTTTTTCAAGTTTCGCCAGCTCTTCAGCTCAAACAGGGATGCAGGCGCGGTACTGGCAGAAAGCATATCTCCACTTCTGCACTTCCTTAAGTTAAAAGCGCGTTTAGTTAGGTTGTGGTGAGTCGCAATCATGTTTCCTCGCTTGCAACTCTTCAGGTTGTCAGGTTCCCGAGGCACATGCTTGTGTTGAGCATGACCGTTGCAAGTGGCCGTGCATGCTCTAATGTCATGTGGCTCCAAAAGGCGGTGCAATAACCAATACCACCTGCCCAGTTGTACCTTTGAGCTCATCTTTTGAGTGCGTTGTGTACGGGGTTAATATGACATGTCAGGGCTGATAATAAGCGAGATCTCAACGAGCTGAATTGCTTATCAACGCGTGCACCCTAAACGGTGAACGTGTGTTGCCATTGACGGTGCTGACTTCCTTTGTCCAGCTAAATCTCTACGTGCCTACTCCTTCGCATCTCTCCTAGTTCGCCTTAACCGCTTTGGGAACGCACTGTGAGTTTGATAATCTGATCGTCCATAGGATTTGCTGCTGGAGTTCAAGGCTCCATGTCGTTGGCCTGGTGCGCTTCCACTTTCACCCACTTCGTCGCCTCCTCTTAGCCGCCTTAGGCGGTAATTTTCAGCAAGAGGTGCCAAGTTCAGCTCAATTAAAGGAGAATACTAAGAGTCGTTTCGGCTCCAGTGCTACGTAACATACATAGCTTTGTCGCCGTTTCAGCGTCATCACTTCCTGTGTTGAGCTTAACAACTGCGTGTGGCCTTAATCAGGCTTTAGAGTTACTAGTTGGAACGCCGTGCGTGCCTGCAACCGAGCACTAATTAAGCTTCAAGAGTGAGCATACTCAGTGTATCTCACTTCTTACGGGCGCTAGTTTCCTTCCATGTGTCGTTGTTGTGTAAACCATGTTGGTCACAAGCGGGGAAGAATTCTCAGCCATTTCCTCCGTCCACCTTTTCCGCTCCTGGATTCGTAAACATCGTATGCCTTAGCTCACAAAACAGCTATATAAACTTGCCCAGCAACGTGTGTAGGTCTAAGATCACCGTGCTGAGTTGCTCGCAGGTTATCACCGGCTCTTCGTAGAATTTGCTTTTCGAATCCTTGGGCGTGCAGCAGGACGCCACCGCCGACCCCCTCCCCCCCCTCCGTCCGCACTTAGTGCAAGAGCTTCGCAGATAGGTCCCCACTCCAGGAGGAGTTGTTTGCGGGTGGCACCCGTCTTGCGCCGTTGCACGTTCTGCTTCAAGACTCATTGAATTGAACATTTCGGGGGGTTGCGGCCCTAAGCGCAAAAACTAGGAAACGTTAACCATCCAAAGCCCAAAGCCCAACGCCCCAAGCCCCAAGCCCCAAGCCCAAAGCCCAAAGCCCGAAACCTAAAAGCCCTCAACCTCAACCCTAGACCCTTAACCCTCAACCATACATCCTGAACCCTTTGAAGGTTGAGTGTCTTGCAGCTCCTAGGCGGGTTTGGGGGGTCTGATTGGGTTAAGGGCTGAGCTAAGCATGTAGGGTTTAGGGTGCTTGAGGGATCAGGGCAGGCTACGCGGTTTAGGGTTGGGGGCTTCAGGGTTTTCCAAGGCTTAGGGTGGCTTGAGGATGTAGGGCTTCAGGATTTAAGGGCTTAGCAGGGTGTAAGGCCGCAAAGGTTTTAAGTTTTACGGCTCACGTTTTGGGGCTTGAGCGTTGAAGGGGTTTAGGGCTTCAAGCTTCGGGAGCTCGGACTGCGCCATGCTGTGGGTCCTGGGCGTGCTGGGCGTTCTGCCTTGGCTTTGCCAAGGCGACTTGAGTTTGGGCGACTGTCAAGATGCCACAAGACGGATCCATGTGGCTGCCTTTGCCAGCGAGCTGGACATGATCCAGTCTGCTGTTTTTGCCTCCACCTCCATGGTTTTTGGTGAGATGGCGCTGCTGGACTACGGCCGCGGGGCAGAGTGGCCCAGGCTCACCGTGAAGTTGCGGGCGTACCGAGACTACGTGGAGCGAATGTTGGACTCTCAACTCTGCGACTTCGTGCTCTTCCTGGATGCCTACGACGCCGTCGTCACCGGAACAGAGCGCGAGATCATGGACAGGGTCTTGGCCCTCGAGGCCCGCACCGGAAAGCCCATCCTCTTTGGGGCCGAGACCGCGCCGGATAAGTACCAGGAGGCCTTTGAGGACCTGGCCAAGGCCCAGAACGTGAGCACACCCTGGCGGTATCTCAACTCCGGCCTTATGGTCGGTCGAGTCTGGGCACTCCGCATCTTCTTGAGGGAGACTAGGCTGCATGGTAAGATGTTTGCGGCCATAGTGACACTGGGCCCAAAGCAAAATCTCATGTTGTGCCAGGGTTGAACACTTGGAATTGGGGGCTGTCAAAGAGAACACGGGGTCACGTCATAGGTGCCTTGTATAACAACCCCGGACGCTCGGGCCTAAAAGCCGTTTCGCGCAAGCTGAAGTCGAGGAGATGCTCCACGACCGTCCCAAGGAGGACCCGACGCCGGACCAGGTGCTGTGTGCGAACTTCAGCCTGTTCAGGCGCCCGGACCTGGTTCCTTGGGTTGGTTTTGGGATTCTTTTCTGGTGTTTTCATCGCCTGCATCGGGGCTGATTTCAAGGTCCTTGTTGGGAAGTACTGCGACAGAGGTCGGCCCACTCGCTTCACCCGCCACAAAGCCCTTGTAAAAGCTTCCAAGCCCTCCTTTCCCCTTAGACTCCTGGCACCCCCACAGCCAGATTACAGACTGCACCATAGCTTTGTAGTATACATTTTAACCCGGCGTATAACTTACTCCGCCACGCAGGCCACGTAAAGTGCACCCCATGCCTACTCCACTACTCCGCGGTATAGGTCGCATCCTTGAGTTCTTGCCTTTTCCTTCAGGTGGGTCGAAACTTTACCCCTCTCCTCTCGATGTGTTTTAGGGTTCGGGTGGTTTGTAGTTTTGGGAAGAGGCCTCCTTTTTTTTTGAGCACCTACCGCATGCAGGGCCCCCTAACCCCACCTGAGGTTGGCTTGGACTACGACACCGAGCTTTTCTTGAATCTAGACCGAAAGTTCAGTGTCTGGGTTTACGGTTGAAGTTATAGTTTTTTTTTTCGGTCTAACGTCCAGGTCTAGGGTTTAGGGGCTAGGGTTTACGGTTTAGGTGCCCGTTAAGGCCTTTTGGGTTTGTAAGCCCCCACCCCCCCAGGGGGTTTTTGAGTTGTAGTTGATGGCGTGGCGAAATGGACAACAACGATTCAATCTCAAAAAAAGGGGCGGCCTCCGAGAACCTAAGACTCCATAAGAACAGTTGAGGAATGCCTTCGGAATCGAGGGCATCTTGGACGGTGCTTGGGCCTGGGAGCGAGGTCAGCCCAGGGGCTCCGTGGCCCTCGTGGAGTCGGGGGGCAAGAGGTGGATCGAAAACAAGGTCACCAGGAGGAGGCCGGTGGTCTTTCACTTCCTTGGCTCAGCAAAGTTCTCCAAGAGGGCGCCTTGCCTCAAGAACCCCTGGTTCATCTGCTACCGATCCTTGCCTTTCGAAGTGGTCCGACTGCTTCTGCCGGAGGCCTACGCGGGCTGGCGCCTGGACACGATGCAGGACTTGTTTGACGACTTGTCCACGCCCTGGCTGCCGCGATGGAATGGGGATGACTACCTGCACTTCCAGAGGACTCTCGGAAATCCAGTGGTGCTCGTACCCTTTTCTCCTCTTTCATCCCTCCGTTTCCCTCAAAAACTTGGAGCCTAGGACTTGGAGCCTCCTTCAGAAGATGAAGCTCAGAGAACGAATCATCAGCTACCTGGTGCTCTTGGATGTTGCCTTTCTGGCTGCATTCGCCTGGCACCGCTTTCGGCAGCGTGGCCAAGACCCAATGGCATGGTGCAACTGGTGCCTTCCCAGGTTCAGACTCCGACACTTGAAGACGGACACCTGTGACGTGTGATGCGCGTGAGCCCAGAAGGAAAGGGAGTCTCGCTCCGTCTTGTTGCCTGCTCCGCTCTCTAGCCCAGAAGACCCAAATCTTGATCCCCAAGCCCCGAGAAAGAAGCCCTAAGCCCTGAAAAAAAAAACAGCAAACCAGACCCTAAACCCTGTAGCCCTAAGCCCTGAACTCTGCCCTAAACACCCTCAGAGCATAAACTAAGACCAAAGCCCAAGCCGGAACATCGAGCTGTAGGTCGCCTGCCCAGCCTCAATCCTCAAGGCTTTAGGGTTTCGGATTTCTGCGGCTGAGGGTTTAGGGTTTGAGGGTTGGGCTTTTTGAGGTGAAGGGTTTACAGTTTGGGGTGCAGGCGGTGTAGGGGTTTAGGGTTCCTAGGGGCCCTTTGTTCTGAAAGGCACCTTCAAGTATAGTCGCGGTGAACAGAGTACCTTGCCGACTTTGCCTTGTTATCTGCATCAGTTTTTGACTCGCAACCCCAATTCAAAACCCACAAAATCTTAAAGCTCTATCTCGAGCTTCGAAGCCCCAGAACTTTGAGTCCTCCCCGCTCCCCTCAACCAAAAAGGCTTCGAAACGTTTAGGGCTTGGGGCATTAGAGTTTAGCTTACTTAAGACAGCAGGCCCAAAGCCCCTAAACCGTCGACCCTAAACCCTATGCCCTGAGCCCTCAACACTTCTATAGGCCATAGGGCAGCGCCGGCATCTGAGCGCGTGCCCCCGCGCCGCGGAAGCCAAGCTGGGAGAGGAAAAATGCAGCGCCCCAGCCCCAAAATAAACATAATACACCCTGCCAACCCGAAGCCCCTACCAGCCCTACTCGTAATTGCTAAATCCTACTAAGCCTTCAACCCTACCATGAACCCCAAAAGCCTTGATGACCCTGAGCTGGGTTTGTGCGCTGGTCGGGAAGAGGCGGATTTGCAAACCCACAGCTTCGAAACACGCCGGCTAGGGTTCAGGGTTGAGGGTTACACGGTTACAGGGTTATAGGGTCATAGCGTTTTAGGGTTTCGGGCTATAGGGTTTTCGGGCTTTAGGGTTTAGGTTACAGGATGCACAGGAATTGGGGTTTTGGGCTAGGGTTCGGGTTTTGAGTTTCGAGTTTTGGGGTTGAAGAGTGTGGCCCACCTTCAGTGCCCCATCTTTCGGCTCGGCACACATACACTCATGTTGTCATCTACCTTTAGACAGGAAGTGACGGAGTCGGGGTTCATCTAAGTTATGGGCCATTTGTCTATCATCGTACGTTCCTCTTAGTTTAGCGTGCCCATCATTTTGAGCAAATCCGCCCCCTGTGGATGTGGCAGAGGCGCCATGTTGCGTGGAAGGTGGTTGGCCTCTGGTGCCTGGCTTTCTCGCTCCTAGGTACCCACGGTGGACGCCTTTTTTGTTTTTTGTTTCAGGTGTTGGGTGTCGGGCCCCTTATGCATAAGCACAAAACAAGAAAACAAGTTCCCGATCAAACTTCCATCTGCACCGTTCACAGGCTTCCCATTCTCATGCCAAGGTCCCTAAACCCTAAACCCTAAACCCTAAGCCCTAAACCCTAAACCCTAAACCCTAAACCCTAAACCCTAAACCCTAAACCCTAAACCCTAAACCCTAAGCCCTAAGCCCTAAGCCCTAAGCCCTAAGCCCTAAGCCCTAAGCCCTAAACCCTAAACCCGAAACCCTAAACCCTAAACCCTAAACCCTAAACCCTAAACCCTAAACCCTAAACCCTAAACCCTAACCCCTAAACCCTAAACCCTAAACCCCTCTAACCCCCCTGAACCCTAAACCCCCTGTGTTCAAGGTTGGGGAACCAGAGGCCCGTCGCCGTGGTGGAGGGCTGGCGCCTGCACCGCGGCAGGCAGATCCCTTGGAACATCTTCAGCCCCAAGGCCAGAGGGAACGGGATCACCTCGAGCTTCGGACCTTCTCTGTTTTAGGGAGGGTGAAGGATGCCCAACACAAAAAGGAAGCCAAAGAACGGTTTGCTTCAATTGGTAGCACTTGGTAGGGCTTGTTTAAGTTGATTTGGGCTGCGGGTTCAGACTCATCCCCGCGTGGAGATTGCAGTCTGTTGGAGATGCGGCACGGTTCTGCGGCTAGCGGCCAGCGCAGGTAGAGCGGCGCCAACCTCCATGATCGCCTAGACCAGTAGACCCCAATCCTGGTAAACCCTAAGCCCCAAACTCTAAACCCCAACATCTCTGATCCATAAACCTGTTCCCCCCCCAAACCCTTCGAGGCACCCTTTCGGGCCACTGTTGTGGCCAACCAGGAGTCGGCTTTTGTTTGGTCCTTTGAGGGCTTGCCTGGACCCACAACCAAGCCCCAAATCCCAAACCCCAAACCCCAAACCCAAACCCGAGCCCCAAATCATGAACCCCAAAGCACAGCAAACAGGAGTTGCCCCACGTGCTGGCAGCGCCGGCCGCAGGCGGCGAGACGCCTGGACTTGGTGGTGGAAGGTCGATCTAGGGAGTAGGGTTTAGGGCTTCTCAGTGACTTGATCCATGTGTTAGTCGTAGGGTGGAAAGGTTTGGGGCTTCAGGCTCTGGGGGCTAAGTGTTAGGGCACTCCAGGGGCTGAGGCTTTAAGAGTGTCGGTTAAGTGCTTTGGGCTTGGGGACGGTTTATAGGGTTTGTTTTGTTTTCGGGCCTTATGTGTTCAAGGGCTCAGGAGGAGGGCGTAAAGGAAAGAGCAGCGCAGACGTGCATAGCCACAACCGAGGACATGCCACATCACGCTGAGCCACCATGGGCAGGCGACGCGGCTAAACCTGATGCGTGGCATCCCTTAAGTAGGAAGTGCCTTGCGTAAGGCCTGTCACTGCTCTTTTTTTCTTGTGCACTTGATGATTCCCTAGCACCGGAACAACCCCAATAATGATTTGCATTGTTTCTTCACAAGAACTCGATTTGGAGTTCTTGCCAGCAACGTGTCACTATCCCCTCTTCTTACTACCCCGTCCAAGGCAGGCCACCCGAAAGGCAAGCCAGCCCAACGCAATGGACATCGCCAGTGAAGCCAAAGGTTCTGCCGCATCTCCCCATCATTCGACACATGCCCCGCAGTGGAGAACTGTGAACCCCACACCCGGAACCCCAAACTGTCACTAGTACAGGGCTCCCCCACAGGCTCATGCCTTTAGTGTCTAAGAAACGGCTAGACGTCCCCAAAGCCGTCAACCCCAATCCTGATAAGCCACTGGAGGTCCCCTACCTGGAGGGTCAGGCTATCGGCGTGCTCGCTCCTGGCCCGGACAGGCAGAGCTACGTTTAAGAGAGCTTAAGCCGTAAACCCTAAATCCTAGGCCCTAAGCCCTGAACCCTAGAGTTGATGTTTTTGCTAAGCCTGTCGGTCGGTTTCAGGGTTTAGGCTTTGTAGGGCTTGTGGAATACTTGGAGGTTCATGCTCAGTTGACTCAGTTATAATAAGGTTGAAAAGTATGGTAACTGTACTTATAACCCCATTTATTATCATAAGGGTACTTAAATCCCTACTTAAACCTCCAAGTAGGAGTTTGCGGGGCTTGTTTGAGAGTCTGGAAGTTCGGCGGTTGAAGGGTTTGGCACTTCACAGCCATCTTCGTGTCCTCCCTTCTCGAGAGGCCTCGTGTGTCAGATATCCCTTGCGTGGAGGGTTTCCGAAAATAGGGTACCCTTTTTTAAAGGTCACCAGAATGCGGATTCTGCTAGTTCTGGGAGACCCCTGTGTATTGGGACTTCCCTGGGAAGTGGGCTTAACCCTCATCCCACCCTAAACTTTAACTTTCAGCCCTAAAGCACCCAGAAGTTTAAGCCCTAAACCACCCTAATATCTAGGCTCTAAACCACCCTAAAGTCTAAGCTCAAGCTCAAGACCCTAAACCCTACCACTTGTGCGAGCATCGCAGTTGGGCCAAGGGTTCCCTGCACCCCTCAGAATCAAATACAACCCCTCAACCCGAAACCCTGAACCCGAAACCCTGAACCCCACTTGGGGCGAAATCGAATTTTTGGGGGGTATATTCGCTGTACGGCAACATCTGACCCTGGTGTACCCTATCCCCTATTCAGCACACACCCCAATCGGGTTTAGGATTCGGGGGCGCAAAGCCTGATGCCCTAGGACCCAGAGTAGGCCCCTTGTCCCCTTTTCTTCGGTTTAGGCTCCCTCATTAGGCTCCCTCTATACAAAAAAAGGGCACCCTTATTCCTGGGTTACTACTTGGGTCGAGTTTCATCTGGGGGTTTACGACGAAAATAGGGGACCCCCAAAATAGACCCCAAAAAGCAGGATTCCCTTTCTATAATGACCCAATAAGAAGGTACCCCTAAGAAAAGGTACTCCTAAGATCGTAAACCCCTGTCTGGGCAAGAAGAGGACTGGCGAGAAGCCGGCGAAGCTCCGTCTCTACTCCATCGCCTCCTCCAGGTGCGGCTCTCCCAGTCTGAAGGGACCGCTGCGTTTTTTTTTTTTTTTGCAGGGGCTTGCTTGGAGGTTCATCCCGGTATTTCATAAGGTAGGGTTAGGTATGGTAGCTATATGTATAAGCCTATTTAGGGCAACTTGTAACCCTACTTTTTACTACCCAAATGAAGAAGGAGGTACTCAGACACAAGTACGCTGGGCACCGGGTTCATGCTTGTCAGACATCACCCTCAGCCCCAGAGAGTCCCAACACCCTCACCCTAAGCCTCAACCCCAAACCCCAAACCCCAAACCCTAAACCCTAAACCCTAAACCCTAAACCCTAAACCCTAAACCCTAAACCCTAAACCCCAAACCCCAAACCCCAAACCCCAAACCCTAACCCTGAACCGCAAGGTCCGGAGACGACCAGCGATCCAAGACCCTGTCTCTGTGCGTCAAGCGCGTTGTGGACGTCTCGGAGCGCTCAACTGGCCTGGCCGGTGACGGGTATGGTTTATTACTTGGAGGTTCATGGTACTTATTCATCAATTATGACTGTACTTATAACCCACTTATAAGCCCCTTAAGTGCCCTAATATGGTTATAAGTACAATTATAAGTACAGCTATAAGTGGTTAATTTTAACGCTACGCGACCCGCCTCGGCCCGGCCCAGCGCATCCGCGTGAGCATGGTGATTCCGCAGCGCCCAAGTCGCTGGACCCCAAGCAATAAGGGTTGGGTTGAGGGTTGAGGGTTGAGGGTTCCGGTTTTATGGTTTATGGTTTGGGGTTTGGGGTTGAGGGTTAGTTTAGGGCTCAAGGTTCACGCTTTGGGGTTGAGGGTTTTTTTGGGTTTGGGGTTCGGCTTGGAGTGATCGTAGGGTTGAGCCAGGCCCCTTAAGGTTTAAGGCGACTCTTCGGCAGGGGGGGGGGTGGGGGGGGTAGGGGGGGGGAGGGGGGAGGGTGGGGGGGGGGGGGTGTGGGGGGGGGGGGGGGGGGGGGGGGGGGGAACAACGGGGGGGGCCCTGCTGGGAGGGGCTTCAACCGCCTCTGGTCCTGGCGAACCGTCCGCTTGCGGACCCCGGTTTCCCAGGGGGGGTACCCATTTGAGGCCAAAAAAAGGGGTCCGAAAAAGGGGTTTTGATGTGGGGGGAGGATTTGGAGGGGGGTGCCTGTTCTGACAACCTATACACCTCCGGCCCGAGGCCTCGGCGGATATAAGCACCATGAGCCTCCAAGTAGGGTTTGGGGGATTGTGCTTGGGTTTCCTTGTATACTGCCTCAAAGGATATTCAGGGGATGCGGGGAAGCTCATTTCCTATTTCCTTGCAGAGAAGCCGCAAGCCGTAAGGCGAGTCGGTGCAGCCTGGTGGGGTGTGCTCCAACTATCTCTGCGATGCCCGACCAGGGGACAAGGTGGTGATCACTGGCCCCACAGGGAATGACATGCTTCTTCCTGAAGAATCCGAGTGCAACTTGATTTTTGTTGCCACTGGCACCGGGATAGCACCAATCCGCTCATTGTTGCGACGGCTTTTTCATGATCGGGCCGAAGCCAACGAAGACGCTGGGAATCCCAATTTTAATTGCTTTTTTTTTTTTTTGGGGGGGGGGTTTTGGGATACCCTTACAAACCCCTTTACTGGCCCGCCCTCCCCCCCAAAACATCCTAGGATGGAACGCGGAAGTTTCAAGGGCTGGCCTGGCTTTTCTACGGAGTGCGCGACGCAGTATCGCGGCTCTATGACTCTGAGCACATGGCCTACAAGGCCAAGTTCCCGGAACATTTCAGATACAACTGCGCCATGAGCCGCGAGGGCAAGCTTGGAGAGAGGTATGTGCACACAGAGATGAGCCGATGCATGGACGAGCTTTGGCAGCTACTGCAGCTGCCCAATACTCACCTTTACGCGTGCGGCCTTAAGGCGTTGGAATCCAGCCTCACTGACAGCCTTGCATCCGCTGCTCGGGACCGCGGCCAGGACTGGCGTGAGATTCAGAAGGCAATGCGGACGGACGGGCGTTACCACGTAGAGGTCTATTGAACCGAGTTGGCGTTCTGTGCCAGCGACGTTCAGGATGCTGCACGCCGGTGACAAGGCAGACAAAAGCAGCGCGTCAGAGGGAAGTAGGATGAAGAGACTGCATGCTCTCGGTTGCTCGGCAGCATACAACACGGTCCAAAGACCCCTATTCCGTGCACCCCAAACCCGAAATGCCAAGCTCTGAACCCTAAGCCTTCTTTTAAACCCCTGAGCCTTTGAGCCTTTGAGCCTTTGAGCCTTGAACTTGATTTCGTTCCCGCATTGGCTCGTCAACCGGGAGCCCGGCTGTGAGATCGCGAGCGAACGCGGAGGCGCGACCGGGGGTCGTTCCGAGGGGATCGTGCTCAGTTGAGGAAGAAGGGTACCCCTTAACGCTCAAGCCTATAGATCAACAAGCCCAAAGCAGCAATCCTCAAACCTAATTAGTCAAGCCCTGAACCTACAGGGTCTAGGCAGCCGCGTTAGATTGAAGGACTTTCTAAGGCCCGGAAAGCCCTCGAAGTGTCAGGTCCTTGCTCTTGAGGTTGTCGTGGCCCTTTCATCATAGATTTTGAGACCTTGCACATGTGCAGGTTTATGGGGTGATAGGGTTTATGTAGGGCCGGGCTTACAGGGCTTGCAGGGCTTACAGGGTGTATGGCTGAAGGTGCAGCTGCGGGTACAGTAGGCTTTTTACAGCCCCGGTCCCCACACCTTAAAAACTCCAAACATCGAGTCGCTATGAGAGCAGCCGAGGCAGCCAAGGGCACCCATCTAATGCCTTAGTCCCCAAGTCCACGCCCTACAAATACAGTCCTCAAAACCTACAAATCCCAGGTAACCCCCCCCCCCCTTTAAAAGGTCGGCTTCCCGCGTGGGACGCAAGAGTCGTCCGCAAAAGGCAGGCTTGTGCAGTAGGGTGTCTTTGGCGGTTTTTACTTGGTTTTTGGAAGGCTGCGGAAACCTCCATGAGTTCCACATCGACCACTTTGGGGGGGCGCGGCGGTCAGGGGTTCCGGTACGTCCAAAGGTCCGTTGAGCTGGGACAGGTCTAGCACAAGCAGATTCACAACGAGATGCAAGAGATGCTGCCCATGTTCAGTGAGGACCAGAGCCAGCAGCCCTAAGCCCTAAACCCTAAACCGAAGCCTTGAGCCCTAAGCGCCCAAGCCCCCTAAGCCCCAGAGCCCCAAAGGATGAGGGCGACTTTATATCTCCAGGAGGCCCAGTTTGAGAGCCACGACCCCTTAATTGAGGCATGTGTCGGAACTCAAACAAAGGGATCCTGTATCGTTGAACTCAAAACCAGAGTGTAGGGATTGGCAGAGCAGCAGTCCTGACGAGAGCTGCAGAAACTGCGCAAGGAACCCAACAACCCTTTCATGGGGACATTAAACAGAACCTTGACATGTATAGAGATCCTAGAGATCCTGACTCTGAGTTAGGCTCAAGGTAGCCCCTGCTTCAGCGACTGCGTCGAGTCCACCAGGACGTGGAGGATGACCTTGACAACGCTGGCGCCTCCAATCAGCTCGTGCTAAGCAGCGCTCTCGGAGCCCCACTTGGAGGTTCAGGGTACTTCCTAACCCAGTAGAAGTGTAAGTGTAGTTGTATCCCACGTATAAGCCCCTTAAGTACCCTAATAGGGTTATAATTGGGTTAGAAGTACAGTTGTGATTGGGGTTGCTAAGGACCATGAACCTCCAAGTATAGCCCCTGGCAAAACGAAACAAAAAAAGACGCTAATTGCCGAAGCAGCCTGCCCATGCGTATGTCCCCAAACCACACGGCAAGTTCTTTACGCGCGACACCCCAAGTCCCTTAACTGCCCCACAAAATGCCTTGAAACCCCCCAAAGAACCCTAAACCATCCTAAATCCTACAAACCTGACCACCCTACTCCCCCAAGAAAAAACCCTGCAAGCCCCGAAGCCCTCAAGCCCACACAGCCTTGAACCTTGAATCCAAGGTTGGGCAAAGAAGGAGAGGGAGGCGGGAAGAAGCCGGGCTGAGGGATGCCAATATGCGGGGTGGGAGTTCCCTGAGACTACAAGTAGGGCCAAAGAACCTTATTTAGGGGTTTACGAAATCAGGGGTACCTGATTGAGGTGTTGATTAGAAGGGACTCCTTGTATTTTGGGGGTCTATATTGGGGCCCCTTACTTTTGTAAACCCCCATGTTGGAGTATTTGGGAATAGCTCTTCAGACGGTTACGACAAGGGAGAGTCAGTAGAGTTCTGCATGAACGAGTTTTTGAGGCTCTCGAGCCGAAGCGCCCTAAAGCCTAAATTAAGCCTAATGCAGGCAGTTTCAGGTTGAGGGTTTGGGGCTGAGGGTTTAGGGTTTTGGGCAGTGTTCAGGGCTGAGTGTTTAGAATTAGTGTTTGGGGTTGAGAGTTGAGGATCCCCACTTTCAGCAACCCCCCAAGTCAGAAGCCCCCAGTACGAAAGCTTCAGAAGAGAAGGTTCAGGACCGCAGTTGCGGGTAATTTCGAGCGGTCTTTGGGGTTTTGGGTTTTAGGGCGGTTTGGGGCTTTTCAGGGATTCGGGGTCTTGTCCTCGGAGGGCCTTCGCGGGGCCCTTGTCTAGATCTCTAGATGTATTTAAGCTGTTCGTGTGGAGCCAGGTGTGGTTCAAGTCGCACGCGCCTGAGCAGAGGCCCAAAGGGTTCGGGTGTCGTTTCTGCGTGGCCCTATCCATAGAACCGCCTGTGTGGACGCCAGGCGGCCGACTCCACACCGGGAGGCCGCCAGACCGCTTTTAGGATGCCCTAAGCCCCTAAGCCTAAAAACCCGAGCACCTCAAACAAAACGCCGTGTAAAGCCCCTGAAATCCTGTAAATGCCCGAGACCCTAAAATAGCCCTGAAGCCCCTGGAACCCCTACAACTCCTCACGCCCCTTACAAAGCCTGCAAAGCCCCCCAAAAAGGTGCTTAAGAAGGCCTCCAAACAGCGCTTGAACCGCCCTTAAAGACCCTTTAAACAACCCTACAAAGCCCCAAAAGGGTGCTTAAGAAGGCCCTTAAACAGCCCTCTAAACCCTAAACCCTAAACCCTAAACCCTCAAAGGCCCTCAAAAGCGCTAGCAGAGGCCACATTGAGGTTCATGGAGCACTTGGCGCGACTCACCGGTCTCTCCGTCTTTGGTTGGCAGGCAGGGGCTTAGGGCTTAGGGTTTTGGGGGTTTAGGCTTAGGGTTGTTTAGGGTTCAGGGTTATTTATGGCCTTAGGGTTTTTGGGTTTCGGATTTTGTTCCCCAGGTTTAGGGGCTGACAATTTGGGTTTTGGGCTTACGGTTTAGGGATTGGGGTGGCTCGGGGGGTTCGGGGGTGGGGGCTCCGGGATTGTTCTTCGTAATGTATTGGGAGTCCTCCAAAATCCATGGGCTTTTTCAGGTTTAGGGGTTGGGGGGTTTGGGGTTTTGGGGGTTGCGGGGATCGGGGTTTGCGGTTGATTTCCTAAGGGGGGATCCTTTTGAACCCACTGAGGTTGAAACCCACAAATCGCAAGGTCCCTGAGCCCTTGACCCCATTCCTTCGTGCAAGAACACCCTCAAACACCCTAAACAACCCCCCCCAACCCCAAAACCTGTAGGTCGCCATCCTTTTGTGGGATGCAGCCTGTCGAACTCTTTTTGTGGCAGCCTCGGCCCTCAAAGCGGTATCGAGTGTCGCGGGTTTAAGCGCAGGTGGTTGGTTTTGGCATTGTATGATGATGATGATGATGATGATGATGATGATGATGATGATGATGATGATGATGATGATGATGATGATTATTCTTATTATTTCAGAAGTACTTTTCTGGGTGTCTTATACGTGGCGCCTTCGTTGCTTCGCTTCTCTTTTTGTGTGTTTCCTCCCTCCTTCTCTCTCTCTCTCTCTCTCTTGCTCTTGTTTGGGGCTGAGCCGTGTCTAGGGTTTAGTTTTAGGGCTCGGGACTTAAACATGGCTTGTTCAACTTAGAGTTTGCGGTTCTAAAGGCTTCAGGGTTTAGGTGTAAACCACACATCCGGAGCTCGGAGTTCGACGTGTTTTTTCATTTTAAATGAGGGGTTAGGCTGTAGGGTTTAAGTGTAGGGTTTGGGGTTTAAACATGTTTAGCCCAGACTACGGTTTGAGTGTGTCGGCAAGGGTTTAGGGTGGGGTCTAACTATGGTTTGTTTATATCCAGGTTTTCGGTTCATTGTTTAAGCAATCTACGTGTCGAGTTTCATGCGTCATGTGTGTAGAGGCAGACTATATATATATATATATATATATATAAATATGTGTGTGTGTACATGATCCAGCGAATGTATATGTGTATTATTTAGATGGATAGATAGAGACGATTTGGGGAGGGTTCATTCGGGCTTTCGGCCGTGGCTTTTCACTTTAGGTTTTGTATGGTTGTCGAAACTTAGAGTGCAGAGTTTAGAGCGTATTTGATTCAGGGCTTTGGGCTTTTAGGGTTTGTCGTTTGTGGGTCAAGTTCAGGCTTTCGGTTTTGACATGGCTTGTGTATTTTAGGGCTTGCGGTTCTGGGAGTTTAGCAGGTGAAGGGCCTAACATGGCTTCTAAAATCCCGAGCACGGCTGCAAAACGAGCCAAGCCGGAACGAATGTCTGTGAACGTTTGGAAAGCTTAAGGTTTCCGTTGGAGGGTTTTTCGCATCTGAGTAAGTTTCAGAAGTCACGGTCATAGCAAGCTCCCAGTTTCCTGTAATCAAGTTTATGTTATCCGTCAGGGATACTAGGCCGAAAGGCCTCATCACATATTTCGTTCAGCTCGCACACGAGTGAGTGGCGTTCCTGTTTAGGGCTTCGGTTTCATCTTTCTGGGAAAGCTTGGTTGTTTGAATTGAGGCTCAGGGTTTAGTGTTATAGGAACTGGTGTGCTGAGGGTTGGGATATCCAAAAACTCAAGGTTTTAGAGCATAGCAAGGCGAAGTGTTTAATGTAGGCTTCGGGCTGAGAGGTTTAGGTTTCAGGGCTGCAGTTGTAGGATTCCTTGTGTTTCTCTCCACGCCCACCAAGCTTG